TACAGAAAACTTCCCCTACCTGGTGAAATAAATTGATTTACAAGTCCAGGAAGCACAGAGTCCCAAACAAGATGAGCCCAAAGAGGCCCACAATAAGACACATCATAATTAAAATGCCAAAGGTTAAAGACAAAGAGGGAATCTTAAAAGCAGCAAGAGAAAAGCAGTTAGTTACCTACAAGGAAATGCCCCTATGAATGTCAGCTGATTTCTCAACAGAAACTTTGCAGGCCAGAAGGGAGTGGCAAAAAATATTCAAAGTGATGAATGCCAAGAACCTACAACCAAGATTACTTTATTCAGCAAAGCTATCATTCAGAATTGAAGGTCAGATAAAGAGCTTCACAGATAAGAAAAAGCTAAAGGAGTTCATCACCACCAAACCAGTTATACTCTATATCCAGTAGTTTGCTTTTTTCATTATATGAAATCGTTTAAGAAGAGGAAGAAGAAAAAGGTAAAGATACAAATTATGAACAACAAATACACATCTATCAACAAGTGAATCTGAAAATCAAGTGAATAAATAATCTGATGAACAGAATGAACTGGTGACTATAATAGAATCAGGGGCATAGAAAGGGAATGGACTGGCTATTCTTGGGGGGGAAAGGGGTAAGGGGGATGCGGGAAGAGACTGGACAAAAATTGTGCACCTATGGATGAGGACAGTGGATGGGGAGTGAGGGAGGAGGATGGGGTGGGAACTGGGTGGAGGGGTGTTATGGGGGGAACAAGAGGAAATAATGTAATAATCTGAACAATAAAGATTTAATTAATAAAATAAAAAAAGTGCTCACAAAACAATCACAGGCATTTGAAAAGGTAGAAAATCTTGTTGATTTAGATAAACAAAAAGCAGTTAGCCTGTGGTAGCATTTCCGAGGCAATGATATATGAAAAATTCATTTAAGCCAAAACTGGTTCGGCTCAGTGGATAGAGCGTCGGCCTGTGGACTGAAGCGTCCCGGGTTCGATTCCAGTCAAGGGCATGTACCTGGGTTGCAGGCACATCCACAGTGGGAGATGTGCAGAAGGCAGCTGGTCGATGTTTCTCTCTCATCGATGTTTCTGACTCTCTATCTCTCTCCCTTCCTCTCTGTAAAAAATCAATAAAATATATATTAAAAAATTTAATTTAAGGCTAGTAGGTGGTGGTTCAATAAATTTAAGAAAAGAAGTGTTATTTGTAGATTAAACAGTATATTGGATGTGCTAAACAAAAAGCAGTTAGCCTGTGGTAGCATTTCCGAGGCAATGATATATGAAAAATTCATTTAAGCCAAAACTGGTTCGGCTCAGTGGATAGAGCGTTGGCCTGTGGACTGAAGGGTCCCGGGTTCGATTCCAGTCAAGGGCATGTACCTGGGTTGCAGGCACATCCACAGTGGGAGATGTGCAGAAGGCAGCTGGTCGATGTTTCTCTCTCATCGATGTTTCTGACTATCTCTCTCCCTTCCTCTCTGTAAAAAATCAATAAAATATATATTAAAAAATTTAGTTTAAGGCTAGTAGGTGGTGGTTCAATAAATTTAAGAAAAGAAGTGTTATTTGTAGATTAAACAGTATATTGGATGTGCACTGTATATAAGAAAGGTTAAAACGGAATCATTTGAGGTCTGGAATGGATTAATATAATTTACAGTATTTTTTGTTTTGTTTTGTTAATCCTCACCCTGAAGATATTTTTCCTTTTTTTTTTTTTTAAAGAGAGAGTGGAAGAGAGGGGAGGGAGGGAGGGGGGGAAAGGGAGAGAGAGAAAGAGAGAGCGAGTGAACAAGAGAAACATCAATATGAGAGAGAATATCGGTTGCTTGTCTCCCACACGAGCCCTGACGGAGACCAGGGATCAAACCTACAACCCAAGTATGTGCCCTCGATCAGGAATCGAACCCAATTTCCTTAGGTGCTTGGGCTGGGCTCTAACCACCGATCAACATCAGTCAGAGCTCAATTTACATATTCCTAATGGGGAAAATGATTTGGTTTTTGAACAAATCACTTATCGAACAGCCTTCCAGAACAAATTAAGTTAGAGAACTGAGATTCCCCTGTACTCCCCTTTTCAACCGGCCCCTACCACAGGCCCTGCTGCCAATCATTATCTTGCCTGAGCCCCTACTCCCTCACCTGCTCCAGCCTTCTCTGTCCTCACGCTGTCCTTGTCCCTAGGGCTGTTGAGGGAGACCTGTCTCCCCAGCCCTTGCCCTGCCCCTCCCAGGGCTTGCCCTGGCTCTGCCCATAGGTTCTAGTTCTGAGATTTGTACCTCCAGCCTGGCCTCTGTCTTGAGTGCAGATCCCCCTGGCTAGCCACTCACTGGATGATGTCTGGTTGAATGTACTCATGCCCGTTCGATGCCACAGGTCCAGTTCTGAATCCCTCTTTCCCACAAAGGCGCCCATCTCATCACCAGTCGCCCTACTTCTTCTCACCCTTCCCATCCATCCTCCATGATGCATTCGGAGTGCTCTTTCTCAAACATGTGGGCAACCGCATCACTACCTGCCTAGGCCTCCCCGGTGACTGTCTGGTGTTCGTGAGGCCCCTCATGACCCAGCTGCTGCTCACAGTGTGGCTGCATCTCCACTCGGCACCAAGAATCCCAGTCCTGGCCACCTATATGTGTGGTCACCTCCACTGCCCTCCCAGGTCTTCTAACCCTCTGAGGTTCAAGGACAAGGACACCTCTGAGGAGCCATTCCTGATCTCCAGGTGCCACTCTTCCAGGCCCCTCCACAGCAGCTGATGGCACAGGGAACACAGAATCATGGTGTTAATACCCAGGTGGGCAGGGGCTGCCTGGTCTCTATATACCTGGTGCCTGGTCAGGGCCCAGTGCAGAGCAAGAACCTCCCAGTGCAAAAGAGTCAGTGTCTCCAACACCACCCCTACCTCCCTGAGGGATATCACTTGGGCCTTTAGAAGTAAGTTTTTGTGAGATAAGGCTCACTGTAACCCAGGGAGACGGCGCACGTGAACCAGATGATGTGCTATGGGAAAATGAGCAAAGCATGCGTCAGGGTTGGCGCAGAACAGGCAGTGGGAAGTGATGCCTCTCTGGGAGGCAGGAGGCAGGCTGCACACCCGTCAGAACCAGCACCTTCTCTGCCTCTAACACATGAGAGGGAACTGAGAGACCAGCTCCCCCACTTCTCCACACTGGCAGGAACTGGGCCCAAGAGTCAGGATGGGAAGAGGAGCTGGACGTGGACTCTGTAATGGGCAGGGGGTGGGGCGTTCTGGGGCTCTCTGCTTGGCCATGCCCTCCTCTGATCTGGCTCTTCTCCATGTTCATTATTAATTCAGCACACAGGGCGCTCGGGGGGCTCATTGTGCAGGAGGTGGGCTGCTTTAGCCTGGGAGGCATTTGATCTGAGTCAGAGGATGAGCCCCGTGAAGGTACTGCCAAGTCCACGGAAACGAACAGTCCGTGATGGACCCCTTCTTGCACTCACCTCTTCTCCTGCAGCAAGTAACCTAAGCTGTTGACATAGCTTCCTGAGCCCTCAGAGGTGAGCTGGAGAACGGGACATGGGAATGGGGAAGAGAGAGAAAGACAAAGTAGAGGGAAACACAATAAAATTTAATCTAAAGTACACCCTTTATCTTGTTTACTTTTCTGAACAGGCAATCCATTCACCTGACTAAAAGATAAAAAACATGAGGGTGTACAGTAAAATGCCCTACCTACAGGCATGCTAGCAGAGCAATTCTGTGCACAGGTAAGCAAACAGACCGTCACAGAGCCCTCTCAGCATGGAGGGAAGCACACCGAGGCCCCCTGCACGCACTCACCCTGTGCACTTAACAGTATGTCTTGAGGGTCACTCCACATCAATACTACAGAGATAACTTAAGAAATACCCTCAGGGGACCCCGATGTGTGGCTGGAACCTAATTCATCAGTTCTCCCATGGTGGGCATTTCAGTGACTGGCAATCTTGGACTATCACAGACAAATGAATCTCTGTTCTTAGAACACATTTCCTTACGTGTCCTCTCAGTCTACCTAGCAACGGGAGTTTGCTCCCCTGGTGAAATTTATCACAGAAGTGTCCATTCAGGACTCCAGATCCACGGGACCACAGCCAGCCCAGCCTCTGCATCTGACTAGCCCTGCCTCGGCTCCAAGGTCCTTCCTCTGCAGCCACATCCCAACCACACCATCAAAGACCCCACCGCCAAGCCACCCTCAGCAAGAGCTAGGAGTGGGAATAAAGGGAGGGCACCCTAGCCTTTGGAGCCCAACGACGAGGGGGACTAGGGCTGAGGAGGGGTGGTGCAAAGGACAGCTGGGGTACGGCCAAGGAACGGCCAAAAGAAGTGGCCTGGGGGTGGCAGATGCAGGGTGACCAGAGAGGGGCAGTGAGGAGAGGAGGCCACTGCTTACCCCGGTGCTGATTCCCACCACAGCCTGCTGGCTGGGGCCTGCCGCCCTCCAGAGCTGCTCCTCCCGTGAGGCCAGGTCCTCCATGGGGCCCGAGTCCTGGGGCTCTTGCTCTGGCTCCACGGGCACTGAGCAGGCCAGTCTCCTCGGGCCCTCAGGCTCCACCGCACCCACCCACCTGCGGGCTAGGGCCCCCCTGCCGGCTTTCGGTGCCCAAGGAGTCAGGAACGTGACATGCGGTGGCCTCCAGTGGGTGGGGACCACGTCCCCCGTGGCCCTCGGGGTCAGAAATGTAACATGCTGTGGGCTCCAGTGGGTGGGGACCATGTCCCCTATGGTCCTTGGGGTCAGGAATGTGACATGTGGTGGGCTCCAGTCGGTGGGGAACGTGTCTCCTGTGGCCCTCGGGGTCAGGAACGTGACCTGTGGTGGGCTCCAGTCGATGGGGACCACGTCCCCCGTGGCCCTCGGGGTCAGGAACGTGACCTGTGGTGGGCTCCAGTCGATGGGGAACGTGTCTCCTGTGGCCTGCATCTTGGGCTTCTTCGACAACTTGGGAGCTGGAGCTGAGTTGGGGCTGCAGAAGCGTTGGGTCGGCCGGCAGATCCCCTGCTGTAGGGGATGGCTGAAGCCACTGTGCTTCAGGTTGGGCAGAACCATGGGGATTGCGGCAGCTGCCTGGACCCCTGTGGACAGGATGAGTCCTCAGTATCCCACCTGACTGCCACCATCCCGCCATGCTGGGTGAGGAGAGGAGGCAACTCTGGATTGCAAGATGCAAGGGGGGCCCTGGCCGGTGTGGTTCAGTTAGTTGAGCATTACTCTGTACACCAGGTCGTCAACTCGATTCCTGGTTGGGCTATATGCTGGGGTTGTGGGCTTGATCTGGTGTGCAGGAGGCAGCTGATAGATGTTTCTCTCTCTCTCCCTCTCTTTCTCTCTCTCTCTCTTCCTCTCACTCTAAAATCAGTAAAAATGTATTTTAAAAATGATGCAAGGAGAAACCTCAGCCATGGGTTTTCCACTCCATGGTGGCCCCTAACCTCAGGAAAGCTCTACCTCTGGAGGTGAGAGACACCTACCTTCAGTCTGAGGAAGGACTAGTACAGTCTTCTGGGACCTGGCCATCTGAAAGCTTCTGCGAGTTCTGTCCTGGAAGGAACCGCTGGTCAGGGGAGGTGAGGGGAACTTCCAGAAGAAAGCTGATGTTCTGGGACCCTAGGTTCCCAGAAAGGAGGGCCCAGCCTATTGGTACCCAGGAGAGCATCCCCCTCCAGCTCACCCAGGGACTAAGCACATGCACCACAAAGATCAAGTTGCTGAGTTGATGGGGGCTCAATCTGGCCTCTCTTTTCAAGGATGTGATGGGCAAGTCTAAGGACATCAACTTTTTAAATACCTGCAAAAACTTAAAACTA